TAGGGCACTGGGCAGGGTGGAACCCCCGAGGTGACACACGTGGCAGTGCTGGGAGGGGTGTGGGAGGATGCTCACCCAGCCGCCCTCAGCACGCGTGCCCTTTCCATGCCTTCATTTCCACTTTGAAATGCGAATTAGGAAAAGGCTTTTCCCACCTGAAAAAAACCTGAACCATCCCGTCAGGAAATGTGCGTGTGGGACAAGCCAGCGGCTCGGGAATAATTGGTTAAAAATAAAAGTAATAGAACCTAAAAAATGTATTAAGCCTGAGGGTTCCTTAAGAAAAAAAAATAAGTTTTTCTATGAGCTGCTGAGTTTTGACCCCCAAATCTTCATTTTTACAAGCAATACCCTGTCGGGCTCATCTCACGCCTCTGGGCAGAGACTGGTGCACACTCATTGCAGGAGATGGCTCACCCCGCACTCCACAGAGCCCCAAAATCGACTTCCCACGGCGCTGGAGATGAACCTCATCCTCTCCCATCCGATTCCCTCCCCTTCTCCCCTAAATCAAGCTCCGGCTCTTAAGTGCATTAAGCACAACCAGCCCCCGCCGCCCCCGGCCACCTGCGCTCCGCAGCCCCTCGGGACAGGGGTCACCGTCCCCCCCAGTCCCCAGCCAGCCGGAGCGTGGCTCCCAGCAGGCAGAAAGGCGGGTCCCTAGGGCAGATTTACGGGAGAAGTTTAGCCGGATGTGCGGACAGACGGACAGACGGACATTGCCCCATCGCCTCCCTGTCCCGCTGCTTTGCATTTCCAACCTATTTCCCTAATTATTCCACCGCTGCTGGGAGTCATCTCAGTCCCCCAGCTCTCCGGCACGCTCTGATTTATCTCTCAGCCGGGATAACAGCTCCCCCCACCCCCTTCTCCTCGGGGAATTCAATTTTCATTCATTTTTCCTGCTTTGCCAGATTGATCCAGCCCCCTCTGCCCCGCTCGGGATCACTCATGGCAGCGATGAGTGGGCACAGGGAGTCGCACAGCGCCGAGCCCTCACCTGGGGGGAGCATCGTGCTGCAGGGGGGGCTCCCACCACTAAAAAAAATAACCCACCAGCATCTTCCCCCCTGCTTGCTCACGGCTCACCACATCTTCCCGGCAGAGCCTTCATCCCTTCCTCTCCTTGTAGTACTGCTTTGTTCCCCTCCGTCCTTCCTGCTGTCCATCTGTTCTTCATGTTGGTGGGGGGTTTTTTTGGTCTCTTTGGGTGTTTTCTAGGTCACTTCTGGGCTTTTTTGGTCTCTTTCCCCAGCATACAGTTATCTCAGCACATGAGGAGGAGGGGACTGTGGAGATGGGCACAAGCTTCTTGACCAGCAAACCCCCTCGGTGCCACCCAAAATGCTGCTGGGTCCTCCCTGGTGCTGCCCAAGGACGGAGGTTACAGGTGATGGGTGTGAAAGGCCCCCCTTTCAGGCTTTCTCCTCCTCCCAGAGCTAAAACAGAGCCGAGGGGCGGTGTAGAACAGTTGAATGTCATAATTTTCATCAGGTTGCATTTGTGAGGCAGTCTGGGGGGGTCTGGCCCCGCTCAGTTGCCCCACTTCCACCTTGGCATTGCCCAAACCCCTCTGGCCCTGCAGCTGGATGAAGACACGAGCAGTGTGAGGCAATGATGCAAAACCCACAGAGGAACAGGGACGGTGCTCCTGCACCTTCCCTACCGGGCTTAATCATTAATAAAATGCGGGTAAACCCCAGAGCTGTGCCGAGACACGGACCCAGCCTCCCCTTTTGCGCCCCAGAACTGGGCACGTTGGAACTGGGGCTGGTTTGGGCAGCGTGTCACCGAGGGGGACATCGGTGCATTGTTCCCTGATGCAACAGGGGAGTTTCACGGCAGAATTCGGGGTGGGGGGTGTAAGGAAAACCCACTCCTGACCCAGGCTGGGCGGTGCAAGCACAGCTGTGTCCCTCGTCAGCAAACTCCGAGTAGGTTTGGAGGTGCTGGGGAGCTGAGCCAACAGCCAGGCTTTGTGCCACCCGTGCAGTGAGTTTGTCAGGTCTCAGCCCAGCCCCCCCCAGAGTCCCCTTATGTGACAAAACCAGCTCTCCCAGCCCAAGAGGGGAGACATCCTTACAGCAACAAAGCTGCCACAGCCACCCTTAGGCATGGGGCCACCTCCCCTCTGAGCAGCCCCGGCCGCAGCACCATAAGCCCCCACCACTCCCCACTTCTGATTTATCCCAGTAATTACCCCCTCCCACATACATCTCTATTGCCAGGGGTGGCCTGGAGCGAGGACAGGCATATTGAGACCCGGGTACTCACCAGCAGCCGGAGAAAGCCTCTCCCCTCGCAGGCACGGGGCGTCACTAATTGTAATTGAAAATTAATTGGCGCTCAGCGAACCCCCGGTGATTTTACGGCCGGAGCGCGGGTGGAGAAGGGATGCCGGCGGAGAAAGGCTCTTGCCTGCGCCGAAGAGGGAAAGGGAAGAGGGGCAAGGCTGGAGGGAGCGAGCGCCGAAGGGGTGGGAGGGTGGCTGGGTGTGTGTGGGGGGCGGCCACCGGCCTCGTGGAAAATTAAATTGCACTTGAGGGTAAATTGTATTAGGGAACAGCGGCCGCCTCACGCCAGCCTGAGGCCATTTGAGTAATTAGCCCCAGGGACCCCCCGGCTCGAGGCAGTGCCGGGAAGGGGTAACTCCGTCGGGGAGGGCACCTCGCGGGGCTTGGTGTGGGGATCCCCCAGGACAGCCTGTCCCACCTGAGAGTGTGGCCACGGCACAGTTTGATGCTCCCCCTGTGCCGGGGCTGGGGTGGGGGCCTGTCCCCAAGTCACCACCCTGAGGGGGGGACACAGTGTGGGGGCCACCGAGCTCTGCCGCAGCCTCCTGCCTGCACTGGCCCCTTTGTGCCCTGAATTGGGGTTCCCCAGGTGTTGGAGGGGACACTCCGGTGCCACAGCCCGGAGAGCCGGGGCCGGGAGGATTGGGACTGCACCAAACAGGATTACGGAAAGTCTATTTACTAGACTCTCTTTTTCCTGCGTGCACGGGGCTTTACGCCGCGGGCCTGTCGGGGGTGCTAATCTGGGCATCCCGCTAACCCCCTTCCGGCAGCGCCCACCTCCCCAGCCCTAATCCCCCACACCCTCCTGCCGCAGCCCCCCGTGCACCCACCTACAGCGCCCCCCTGCCCACCCCTGGCACTCCCACGGAGATATTTTGGGGCTGAGGTAACCGCGGGCAGCCCCACGCCGCAATCCCTCCGTCCCCCACAGGGGAGCAGCTGGCGGGGAGGGGGTGCAAGGGAGGTTATTGATGTTGGGGGTGAACCCCTCAGGGAAATCAAGGAGAAGGAGGCAGCAGCGATGAGACCTTCCCCATCCATCACCCGGTGGTGGGCAGGGCTGGAGGGACACAGCCCCCCCTCCACGCTGGGATGAGGCCACTGAGTACCCGGCAAAGGGACATGGCCAAGGCCAAGTGGGCCAGCAGTGGCGGGACCGGGGTGCCAGCACCACAGCCCCCGGAGGTGTGACCACGCACAGGCATTAAAGAAGGAAAGAGCGAACAAGGGAATTCACTTCAAGGGCAGGGAGGAAGGAAAGGATGGAGGGGGCAGAGCTCCCGTGCCTGGGCAGGAGCGGAGCCAGCCGCTCCCCTCCCCTTCCTGCCAGCCCTCGCCTCCCACCTGGGCAAAGTGAAGATATCAAGAAAAAGGCTCCAAATCGGATTGACACCCCCCCTCCCCCTTAATAAAGTTTATTATCGGCCGGGCTCTAATCCTTTTAAATCCCCCACGCGGGGGGATGGGCCAGGATTAGGGGAGGGCAGCGTAATCCCAATGAATTTGTTACAGGGGGATTTAGGCAGCGCCGGGAGAGCAGATGGCCCCAGCCCTGGCTCTGGAAAACAACCATTTTCCTTAATGATTCCTAACAAGGATAAAAGGGCAGAGAGAATCGGGGACAGGCACAGGGGGCCCACGCCCACAGAGATCCTGCTCCCCAGGGATACCGTGTGTCTCCCTGCTCTGGACCACGGACATGGCCAGCACTGAACTGCAGCTCCACAGCTTGTGCCAACTTTTTTCCAGCAGCTTCCTGGTCCCCACAGATTCTCTTCCCCTCACTCTGTCTGAGGAGAAATCATGAGCCACACCAGGGACAGGGGCATGCCAGCTGTATGAGGGGGGAGGAGGAGAGGGGGAACAGCTACAGGTGCATCTCAAAGCAAAAAAGCAGGAGAAAATGTACAATCGTAATTAAAAATATTTAAAGGATTTTTAAATCAAGTGCTCCTCTCAGGGTGATGGGGAGGCTGGAGAGGGGACAGCAGGAAGGGAAGATGGCACCCCACTGTGCCCACACGGCAGGGACCAGGCAACACAGCCGACAGGCGTCGGCAAAAATAATTTATTCCACTAAGACAAGCAGAGAACGAGCAACAGCGCAGGGAGGCGGCGAGGAAAGGTGTGGGGATCTGGGCCCTGTCTCAGAAGGGGACACAAAATGCAGCTGAACCCATGACTGCCGCCCCCACTCATCAGCCCCCACTTTTGGGGGGTTAAACCCCCATCCTCTTGGCCCCACTAGTGGTTACACCCCGAAGGGCTGCTCCTCAGCACAGGACTGGGCTTCCCAGTTTGAAACCAGCCCAGTGTCTGGGAGCTTCCAAGGGCAGCTGGGTGCCAAAACACAAACCACTGTTGGCGTCCCAGCTCCTGCATGCCCAAAAACATGGCACTATGACCTGAGAGGGGGATGCTCCAACACCTTCCCCCCAAAA